ATTTCTATTCTGAAGGTTTCCCTGACCCTCCACTGTCAAATCCATAGATGACTAAAAATTATTGGCTTTTATGAGGAAATGTGGAGGATCTCATCCACAGAGATTCAGGCTTATTTGTTTGTACATAAATAGTCACCATTTTTCCTAATCATCATCTTTTGAATATATTATCCCTTTCTCTATAATGTTTCCACGTTACTCATTTAGTTCTTGCTGTCTATTTGTTTCATTCTGTGATAATCTCAGGAATTAGTTTCATAGTAAATTGTGTTACCTGTTAGAATAAATCTTTCCTCAACAGTACCTTTTCAAGAAGTTTTTGATAATTCTTAYACAATTATTTTTCAATACAAATGTTAAAAGTTGTGCTCCATTTTCCACAAGTTTAACAAACTCCTTTAAAACAAAGGGAAAAAAAAATAAAACCAGAAAGTTGGAATTACACTAATAGAATATGTCATGGTAAATATTGACTTATTATTTCTTAATTTGAATAAAGGTGTTTTCTCAATTCATAAGGGACATTTTATGTTATTCAATTATATTTGAAGGTTATCTTAAATTAGGTTTATTTAAATGTATTCTTGCATATTCTTCTCCATGTGTACACTTTTTCAATTGAATTTTATTTTACATATTCGTTTTTGTTGGTATTCCAAATATAATGAAAGGCTATTAAAAATTATAATGGTTATATAGCTAAGAGTTTTTACCTTTAAAAGTTGCAGTGTATTTATACTACCTAGACATTTAAATTTTATTTTATGGAGCTAGCCTAACCTTAATCCAACATCTTAGACAACAATTCACACTTGAATATAGACACAAATTTTTAAGTTAAGAAATTATAAGAATAACAGAATAGTGAATCTTGATTTTTATAAAAGGTATTTACTTATATATTCATTTATTCAAAATAATGACTAGTGAGTACCTCCTGTGTGATTCAATTTGAGCACTTATTCCATCTATGGCCTTGTTACCACATCTGAGATGAAAAAGCTTAACTTCTATACTACTGGAAAACCTGATCTGCACCAATCTCATATCAATCTTACCCATAAAATAGTCAGTCATTGCTAACTCTTGGAGAGACAGTGTGACRGGACAAGAGAATGAGTTCTCTCTTTTCTCTGCTCTTGTCCTCCCCTTCATCTCCAAAAACATTTAATCTATCATGTGGAACATTTTGCACTCCTCCAGTCCTGCTGTGCTCAATCGATATTCCATAGTCTCAAATCTTAATTCTCTCTGATTTCTTCCTTCTACCTCTAACCCCATTTTCTCATGCTGTAAAATTAGATGGTAGTGATTAGTCAATAAGTGAACTTGTCTTGTAATTTACTCTCATATTTGCATTTGGAAAGCAGAGGTATGGGAAGAAATCTTAAAAGGAAGTATCTTTTATAATTAAAAAATATGTTAAATTGTGGTAAAAACTCATAAATTTGATGACAACATAATGACATAAAAACAGACATGTGGACCATGAAATAAAAGACACAGAAAAACACATAATTACAGTAATCAGATGCTTGATAAAGGTGCCAACATGATATATTGGGGGAAAGCACAGCCTCTTTACTAAATGGTGTTGGAAAAACTGGATATCCATGTATTGAAGAATGAAATTAGATGCCTATCTCTTAGCTGCTCAAAAGTTAACTCAAAATGGAGAAAAGATCTAGGTATAAGACCAGAAATTTTTGCAATTAATACAAGAAAAAACAAGGGAAACACTTCAGTATATAGCCACAGACAATGACATCCTGAATAGGGTTCCTATAGCTTAGGAAATAATAGCAAGAATTAGTAAATTGGATAGCATGGATTTAAAAACCTTTGGCACAGCAAAGAAAATAATTAGCAGTGTGAAGAGGCAGCTTACAAAGTGGGAGAAAATCTTTGTCAACTACTCTTCCAACAGAGATTTAATGTTCAGAATACATATTTTAAAAAAAAAACCTCAACCCTAAAAGAACAAGTAACCCATCCAACAAATGGGCAAATKAACTAAACAGAACCTTTTCAAAAGAAAAAGTACACTTGGTGTACAATTACTTGAAAAAGTGTTCCATGTATTTAGCCATCAGGGAAATGAAAATCAAAACTACACTGAAAGACTCTCTGGCTCCAAAAAGAATGACAATCACAAAGTATAAAATAAGAAATGAATGCTGGTGAGGATGTGGGGGAAAGGCAAGCTTACACATTGTTAGCAGAAATGGAAATTGGTACAGTATGGAGATTCCTCAAAAAACTGAAAACAGAACTGCTCTATTACCTGCAATACCACTCCTTGATACTTACCCAAAGGATACTCATGTTTCTTGCAGGATAATTAATAATAGCAAAATTATGGAACTACCATAGGTATCCATCAACATATGAATGGATAATGAAATACTGGTATATGTACACAATGGAGTTATATTCAGCCATAAAGAAGAATAAATTCATGTCATTTGCTGGAAAATGGATGGAACTGGACAGCATCAGGGTAAGTAAAGTAAGCCAGACTCAAAAAATTAAGGACTTTATGTTTTCTTCGTTACGTGGAACCTAGTGGAAAAAGAGGGAGGGGAAAAAACACAAAGAACTCCATGAAAGTAGAAGGGAGGCCAACAAGGTAGAAGGAGAAGATTTGAAAAAGGAAGACAGCAGAGTAGGGGGAGGTACTGGGGAGTGAAATTGATCAAATTGTGTTATATGCACGTATCAACATGCCACAGTGACACTCACCATTCTGTATAATTAATACACACCAACTTAAAAACATGACCACCTTAATGATTTTAAGAATACTGTTAAGTACATTCACATTGTTTTGCAGCTGAACTATTTTTATTCTGACAGACTGAGCTCTGTGCTGTAGTATTTTTTTARCATTTCAACACCATTCCAACTCATTTTGCTGTCTACCCATATATCAGAATAAAAGTTTGCAACTAATTTTCCAGAATTTCTTTCTAGAATGGTTCTTAGTCAGTGTCTGATACTGGGATCTGGAAGGCAGAGGAAGGGGAGAAGAGACATATGACCCACTCAGATATCTGGGCCTGAATTACTTAACTATGCATCTGAGAAGCTATTACAGGTTGACTCTGGACTCAGGAAATCCTTTTTCTGAATCTGTGGAGAGACAACTCCAGGCAACAGACTGGACTAAACCTCCATCCTTGTGAAAAGCCCTTGAGGCCAGACCTGCATTGGAGTGCAGCTTTAGCGCCTACCTGACTTCCACAGCTGGGCTCCTTGTCTTGGAGCCATTGAAACAGTGGGGTATAAGAAAYTGATCTTGGATCATTCTCTAGGGATCCAATTGCTTTAATTATCATGTTCTTCTGTCATATGTTTTGCTTTTCAATGATTTGAAATTCTGGAATATTTGTGTATTGTTTAGATAGTGAGTGCCCCAGCTAACTCCAAAAACCTCTTATTGATAAGATAATATCTCTAAAATATGATATTATTTTTAAGACAGAGAAACTGTAGTCTTTCCATTAGTAGTGACCCCTCACCCAAAAGCCACCTATTTATTATTTTTGTTTCACTTAGTATGTATTAATTGTGCACCTATGAAATGTCAGTTACTGTTCCACAGGTGGAGTACAGTGCTAAAAACCATACAATCTCTGAATTATGATTTGAATTCTTATTACTTCCTAAGTTTCCAACTCCAAACACTTTTATGTCATTTCAATGAGAAGCATGAGAATATAAAGGCCTTAATTACAATGTCCAAGGTAAGTGGTATCTTATCAGTTACAAAGACATTCTAGGATGTTCAACTAAAGCATTTACATGTCAGATAGAGTTCTAAGAACAAAAAAGACCTTTTGAAATTATGATAGTTGTCCCTTCGATTTACAAGGGCCACCTAAAGACTAATATGTGCTTAATAATGAGGYCAGGGATGAGGACATAGTTCTGACTTCTGAAAGGAGTCTAGGAAATGATTCTTCCCAGATCAGTCCCTGTCCACCAGGGGGTGTGGCTTCCTAACACTAGCTCAATTCCTGTATGAATTGTTACTTTAGATTTATTATTTCTCTAAGACTTCAACATTCTTCATGTTAAGAATCAAGAACATTATTTAGTTGACTCTCTAAAGATGAAGGCTTCTCCAGGATTATGACTATGATGCTCTTGGTAGTTGGTGAGTAAAATGTCTTTTTTSTATTATGTTAGCAATTCATTAGCTATGAATTTATCTGAGAGTTTTCTAGCAAGATGACACAGATCTCTTTTTTTCCCCCTAGGAAGGACCCGTGGACAATCAGTGACCCAGACRGAAGGTCAACTGACCATGTCAGAAGGGTCTTTTCTCACTATAAACTGCCCTTATTCATCCAGTGGGTACGCTTACCTGTTCTGGTATRTTCAATACCCTGGAGAAGGTCCACAGCTCCTACTGAAAGCYRTGAAGGCCAATGATAWGGGMAGCRAGAAAGGTTTTGAAGCCACATACAAGAAAGAAACCACCTCCTTCCACCTAGAGAAAGCCTCTGTCCAAGAGGCAGACTCGGCTGTGTACTTCTGTGCTCTGGGTGACACAGTGGCAGAAACTGCATGGGGAGCTGAGCACAAACTCTGTGCAGCACCCAGAGTCCTGGCTGCTAAGCATCTGTCTCTGGGGCTCACTCTGGCTTCAGCAGCCTGGGGTGTTGCTCAGTTTCTCAGAGAAGAACAATCAGAATAGACATCCCCCAACTCAAGCTCTTCATTAGTAAAAGTCACAGTGGAGACTGGCAGTGATACTTCCTTATTCAGGCTCAAAGTAATTTCAAGGTAAAATCATGTAAASAAGAAAGTGGTCTGTGTAGTCATTCTTGTAGACAAAGTGCAGTCCCACATTATTCCTCCCCCCAAATTTAGAAAATAATTTTATTTGGGACAAATAAAGTCTACATTATCAGTGGGCAATGTGGAGTCCTTAAAGCATAGCAATTGAAGTGGCATAAAGATGACAGGTATTTGGGTAATGTGGCTTCTATTTGGGCAGCATTCTGTCTTTGCTCTGAACCTTGTCTCCTTCAGTATCCATCCATGCAGTCACCACACCTTGTCCCAGGTTACCTATGTACACACAGCTGTGTCTTATATTTTTAGAGAGCCAATTGTGCCCAAGAAAGTGGAATGTGCAAAACTTCCCCCTAGCTGAGTGTAGAAGGAGAAGTGGTAGGAAGGCAACCGTCCAAAAGAAAGGAAGGAAAAAAAAAAAAAACCAAGGACAGAAAAACACCAGGTCCTTCATAGAGAAGAAAGGAGGAGAAACAACCTCACATGCAAAAACAATGTAGCAAGAGAAAGCAGCTTTCATCACACTGAGGAGGGGGCTCATTTTGGTAAGTCAGGCTGGTGTTCAAAAGGGAGGGAGAGAATAGAAATATCATTGAAGAAGTCTAAGCGCTGAGTAGTCCTGGTGAGTCACCTACATCAGCTGGTTTCTAACAAGGCCTCCAGTGGGCTAGTGGTCAGGGGCAGGGAAGACTACATTTTTGAGAGTGAGAAATATAAGGAAAAATGAAAGCTTCTAGAGCAGACCAGGAAACTATGAAATCTGGGCCCAGTGGGAGAAGCCACCAACCTCAAGGGAAGTTTTAGCAGAAGTTCTACCCTCTTATCCTTGAATCCTTGGGAAATAAAATGGTGTGTGTGTGTGTGTGTGTGTGTGTGTGTGTGTCTGTGTGTGTGTGTCTGTGTGTGTGTGTATGCGTGCGTATGCATGTGTGTGTTGAGGGTGTTTGGAAAGGAGAGGATGAAGGACCTTGTAAGAAATGTAAAAGTAACAGACCACTCACACTTTCCACTACCACCTGCAAATGATTGTTTCCCAGAAAGTTGGAAATACCTGATAAGCCAAGGAATAGAACATTAAAAGGTAAGCAAGACAGGGGCTGGGGCTGGGACCCCTCCTCAGCCTTGAGTAAAGGAGTGTTGGACTGGCATCACATACCACACGCTGTGCAAAGCCAGTGGCCCTTACCTTAGCTTGGCAAGGAAGTGCTTCAGCTCTGGGCTTGAGCAATACCCAATGGGATTGGACAACTCTCCTTTTGATATATTATCTCCTGCCTTATTTGGGTGGAATAGTCCATCGAATGTCTTTTCCCTAATAAATAGAGGGGTTCTAGGTACACTTGCTCTCTTGCCCTCTTGGCTTCCCTAATGGAAGAGGATCCTTGAGGTCACAGAGCAGTCCCACCCTTGGCCTGAGAAACTCATGTCCATTTGTTGGGTGATTTCTTCACCATTTTCTTAGCTTAATGTTGCAGCCAGCTCTTCTGAACCCAGCTCAACTCTTCAGCATGGGCAGCTGGCCAGAACTCTTATAATCTGGGTATTTTTTACACTAACCTGGGACAGGGGAATTAGGCTGAACATCAACAGTGTCTGCTGTTAACATGGAAATTTGCTGGAACATGGGTGGCATTCACTTGCTGAGAGASTTTCTAATTTCTGTATTCTAATTTTTTACTTTCATCATCTATTTAATAGGGTATCTACAGCTGGTCTTATCATTCTTGAAGAGTTGAAATAATTTAACTCAAAGCACTTGTTAATAGAAAAGATTTAAATAAGTATAAGGGATTGTTATTTAGAACTAAGTCTTAACTTTTTTAAGAGCAGTGTTTTAGTAAGCTTTTWCACTGCTGTGACTTAAGGACCCAACCAGAATAATTGTAGCGAAGGAAAAATTTATTTGAGGGCTCACAGTTTCAGAGGCCTTAGTCCATTGAAGGCTGGCTCCATTCCCCAGGGCTCCAGGTGAAGCAGAACATCATGGCAGAACAGTGAGGCAGAGGGAAGCAGTTCACATAGGGATCAGGAATCATAGACAGACTCTGCTCTCCAGATACAAAATATATACCCCATAGTCACACCCCAATTCCCTCTTCCTCCAGCCACATCCTACCACTTCAGGTAACACTCAATTTATCCCTATCAAGGGATTAATTCACTAATTAGGTTAAGGCTGTACCCAATCATTTCTCCTCTAAACTTTCTTGCATTGTATGACACATGAGTTTTGGGGGGACACCACATTAAACCATAACAAGTAGTGACCAGGAAACCAGTATATTATTATCTCACTTTGTTTTAGTAATGATTTTATGACACTATGTCTGTTACTTTACCCAGGCAGAAAGGCCTCTGATAATCAATTGATCATTTTGGGCTTTCATGCATAAAAGATATACAGGAAGAGATCCCAAGTACACTTGGGAATGGCTAACATTATTCTGTTTTTTGTTTACCTTTAAGAATGAAGGGCTGGGTTTCAGCATGGACTTCCTATGTCTTTGTGCACATGCTCCATACAAGTTGCCTTCTTGAGTAKGGTTGGCTTGCAGGATGGTCTGTGGGCATGCATGTGCATGGACAGGGTTCTCATTAAGATGTAAGTGGAAGYATTGGTCAGTTTAGTTGCTCCTTTTCTTCCCTGTATCTAATGCCAGTTTGAAGATGGACAAACTCTGTCAACTCCTCACATAAAAATCCTCAGCCTTCCCAGATGGCTCATKGCAATTTAGTGAGAGCTAACTGTCTGGGTGGGACTGACCTACWGTGCTCCTCACACACAAGCACAGCAGGATGGAGGGCACAGAGGGAGGCTGCAGTCCCCTTCACACAGTCCTTTGTGTCCTTCCCTCCTGCCCTGTAGCACACCTACTCTCTCTCAGCCCAGAGCTGCTCCAGGATCTGGTGGAACTGGTCTCCTCCACTCACATTCCCACTGTGATCTTCACACAGCTCATTCTGGACTGTGCTTTTCCTTTCTCTGTTTCATCCACCAGTGGGCTCTTGCGTGCTTTTCATCTTATGGATGTTAATACCTTTCTCCTGATAACTATCTTGCCATTACATAATGAGATTCATCTGTTCATTTATTTTAAAATATTTTTATGTATTGACTTTGTTCATKTTTGCCTTGAGCCAAGGGAAAGTTATGAATTAACACTTCAACAGTATACTTCATTGGTTTCTCAATTTCATGATAATCTTATAGAAACTATTGGGAAAAAAACTGTCTCTATATCAACAAGCAAGTTTCTTTACTCCTTAAATATGTAATTTCCAGATTAAAATGATTTTAAAAAGAAACATGTATGGATTTTTTATATGGGTTATATAAAATTTTCTTTTGGGTGGGTCATTAAGTTGCCCAGACTGGCCATAAGTTTGAGGGCTTTGGCAATCCTGCTGCCCCAGCCTCCTAAGCAGGTGGGACTCCAGGCTTCACCATGCCCTGGATGTACAAAATATTCATCCTTGCCTTGATAAAGATCAAACAGATTTTCTGCCACTGAGTAGTAATCAAATGCTGACTTCATCTGAWCAGGGAGATAGAATTCTTCTCTGTTGTGAGCCATCCATGAGCTGTGTTTGTGAGCTATGAACATTGAAGTTATATGAGGGGACAAGTCTGGCATTGTACGCTGATTGGGCTGCATGATGCAAGTGTGCCTCTCCTGTAGCTCTGCTTGAGATCCCACACAGCACCTAAGATGGGTGTGACTTGCCAAGATGTCAATAAATCTGCTGACCACAAGACATCAGGAAGTAAGATTCTACCTTTGAAACCTTATCACCTGTCTTATTTGGTGAAGAACTTTCCATGAAAAATCCTTTGTGTTCCCTCCCTCTTCTGATAAAAATAAAGAGATTCCTTTGTGGCTCTCTTTTTCCAGTGCCTTCCAGCGGGAAAGCTGACCCTTAAGGTTGCAGAGCAGTCCCACCCTCAATCTGAGAAACTCATGTCCATGTGTTGAGTGGTTTCTTTGCTGTTTTCTTAGTTTAATGTTGCAGCCAGCTCCTTTGAACCCAGCACATCTCAGCGTCAGGACAGATGATGATGAGACTTCTCCTTTTGTTTGTTTCTTTGTTTCTGTTTGTTTTTGAGCAGTAAGGAAAAAGGAAAGAATGGCAGGGAATAAGCAAAGAAGGAAGGAACCCTACACAAATAAACAAGTTCCCCACACTGTGCTCCTTGAGATAAATTGCTGAGAGATTGAATCCTTCCAAGGACACTTATCTTTCTGTTCCCCTTGAGTTGCCTCACAGGGGCTATGCAATTGTACTATTCCTCACCCACTGTCCCTGGGATATCCCTGTTTGAACATTGCCCTTTGCATCCCCCAGCCTTCTACAACAGAGCACTTTCCAAGGCAGGAAATGAGGGCATCTCTCTGCTCTGTGTGCTTTTGGAGGCTTCTGATGTTTCCTCACCCCATGCAGTCTTGCAGTGGCTCTGGGCTTCATGTTCCATACCACATCACAGGTCACATCTTCAGTGTTCCCTGGATGAACTTCTTCCTCTTGGGCCCATGTTTCCTGAGAAGTATAGATGCAGAAATCCAATTCTGAAACTAGTGGACTTGCTAGATACATCATGGAAGAACTGAAGTGCAAGGCTGTGTGTCCACTCCTGGCCACCAAAGTTTCACTTACTTAAGAATTTTATTGATTCCTTATTATTATACCTCACAATGGGATTCATTGTGATATATTTGCACATACACATGATGTAATTTGAAAAACCTCATTCCCCAGCACCAGTCCTTTCCCTTCCAACCTCCCTCCTCAAATCCTCTTTTATTTACTGATTTCCTATTATTACTTTTTTAAAAAAGTAATAATAGATCTGGTAGATAAGAGATGAATTCATGAACTTGGAAAATTTTAATCAGAAGCACA